CACATCCATTTATTTGGCACCAGCCAGGTACCAATATAGCAGAGAATGAGGTCCCTACCCCATGGGGCTTACAATCTAGTGGGGAAGACAGTCAAACCAGTAACACATAAGTAGATGAGGCCACTGTGGGGCCTGAAACACAAGAAGGATGGAACGGAGGGGAACTGGGGAGCCCTTCAGAGGGAGAGGTCAGGGGAACCTCTTCAAGCTGCGGCTGGGAGGATGAGCAGCCAGATGAGCAGAGACTGGCAGCAGTCGTGGGCTCCAAGTCCTTGAGGCAGGAACAAACTTCCAGAACTGGAGTCGGGGCCAGTGTAGCTGGAGTATATTAGAAGTCAGGTGGAAGGAGGAGATGAGGTAAAACTCAGCTGGATAAAGAACTGGCATTTTATTCCAGTCAATGGGAAGCCACTGAGGACTGGTTTTTTTGTTTGTTTGTTTGTTTTGTTTTGTTTTTTAAGATTTATTTATTTATTTGAAAGAGAGAGTGGAGGGTGGCACAGAGGGAAGGCATCTTCAAGCAGACTCCCCACAGAGCACGGGACTTGATCTCCAGACCCAAGAGATCACGACCTGAGCTGAAACCAAGAGTCAGACACTTAACTGACTGAGCCACCCAGCCGCCCCGGGGCTGTTTTTTCTTTCTTTCTCTTTCTTTCTTTCTTTCTTTCCTTTCTTTCTTTCTTTCTTTCTCTCTTTCTCTCTCTTTCTTTCAAAAAAAGAAAAAAAATTTTTAAAGATCTTATCTATTTATTTGAGAGATAGAGCACAAGTAGGCAGAGCAACAGGCAGAGGGAGACGGAGAAGCAGGCTCTCCGCTGAGCAGGGAGCCTGACATGGGGCTCCATCCCAGGACCCCAGGATCACGACCCAAGCCGAAGGCAGCCACTTAACCGACTGAGCCACCCAGGTGCCCCCCCCTTTTTTTTAAATAAGAGGAGGGACTTGTCCTCAAGCATAAATCAGGAAGAAAGAGGAGATGCGCCTAGGGAGGTGCACGGATTCAGTAGTGGTAAGGTGAGGGCTTCCCCCCGGCTCAGCTCCTGTCTCCTCAGTGACATGATGCTAGCTCATCACTGGGAAGGGGGAGGGGGATAGTGGCAGGACGCGTGTCCATTAGGCCACGTCAGGTTTCCAGTGTCCCGGATGGAGTCATGATCCAGCCCTAAGGAAGCCCTAACCCTAATCCGTCCTAGAGCTCCCAGGCACCTCCTAGCGGCTTCCCCAGGGAGATGGAGGAACTTCCTTGACCGGTCCCTCCCCTGTCACTGAAAATAGGCCAATGGCAGCAACCGAAGCCTCAATCACCACAAGCCCAATATCAACTACGGCCACCATCGTACTCACTGTCACCTTCACGAGGACAGGCTAGGAAACTCTGACCCTGTGAGTTAACAGGACCCTGTAAGCCAGCTTCCTGGGACCTGTGGAAGGCACAGTCCCGGGACAGAGCCAGTGGTGTGCTGGACTTGGCTCCTCCTGTCTTGCGAGAGCCGATTCTGTGAATCTCTTCCCAGTTCTGCACGCAGTATCATCATATGGGCTGCCTGACATCAAGCCCAGTGGAGGATTTTCAGTAGCCAGCATACCTCTGGACAGAGCCCTGAGGATAGTGAGAGACGCTGACCCCACTGCTTGCCCATGTAAACTCCAGAGCCTGGAGCAGGGTCAGTGGGAGGAGGCAGCCAACCACGTCCATAGAGTTTGGAGGGCAGGCTGTCTGGTGGGGGGAGGTGGGGGGTGGAGATAGGAGGTCACGTGCCCCCAATACATCCCTGAGAGGGGACCAGAGACCCTGGGCATTAGCTCTGGGACATCGCCTTCACCAGAGCCTCTGTTCCAGCCCAGGAACCTAAAGGCCTGTGGGCTCCCAGCCAGGCTGCCTGACTCACCATCCTAGAGTCAGAATCCTGGGCTGGGTCTGTCCTTGAAGGGCTGCTTCTCCCTGTTCCCTGATCTCAGGATGAGCCCTGACCCTGGTCACAAACTGGGCCTGGGCCCGGTAACAAAGATCTCCACCCAGGCCCAGACAGAGCCCCACCCTGTGTTCTGGGCTGGGCTCGGATTGGCCGTAGAAAACACTCTCACCTCCATCTGCACACAGGCCCTGGCTCAGCCCTAGAATCAGGGGCCCCTGAGCCCAAAGGGGAGCAGGCCTGGAGAGGGGTTGGCTCAGCACCGGTCACTTCTGCAGTCCTCCTGCTTGGGGAAGCAAACTGTGAAAAACAAAACAAAATTAAAACTCACCACCAGCTCCTTCTTGCTTTAGTGACACATCTTTGTCTCAGGAAATAAGGCCTGGAGTGAAAGCACATTTTCCAAGGCCTAACCCCTCCCCACTCCTGCCAGGCTCCCTCTTTGATTTGGAGGATTCTTGCTCTAAACCGTCCCTCCCCACTGTCCCCAGAATACAGGGCTCCCTGTTGCCAAGAAGGGAGGGAGCTGTGAAAGTCCCGGGACCTCCATCTGAGAGGCTCAGGGGGTGGAGGCCAGGATCCTATCTGGCTTATGGACTTGGGCAAGACTCTTCTCCTCTCCAGATCTCAGTTTTCCCATATGTACAGTGAGAGATTTAGCTCTCTAGCGCTACTATCCAAAGTTAGGGAGCCTGATGGAAATTTAGGGTCCCATGTTCAAACATTGGAAGGGTTGTATTTTCTGGATAATTCAAACCCAGGAGACCCAGGAAACTCTTCCTAAAACATGTACAGGATACTGGGTCCAAGTCCTGGCATATCCTTTTAGCTCTGGTACCTTGTGCCAGTGACTTGGCTTCTTTGGGCCTCAGTTTTCTCATCTGTCAAATGGCAATAACACCAAGTTTGTGAGGATCAAATGAGATGGCGGCAAGAAAAGTGCTCTGTAAGCTGTAGAGTCAGTCCTCCCGGGAGAGAGGGGCACTTACTATTGCTGTTGGTATGGGTTAATGTTTTGCATTCCAGCAGAGCCCAGAAAGTGGATCAGTCTGGCCGAGCTTTCAAGTGAGAGACCTCCTCCAAGTCTCCCCAGGACCCACTACACCAGCCCTGCCCAGAACCAGCTTGAGCCCAGCGTAAGTCTGCTACCTGGCCTCCCCACTTCAGGACTGGACACATTTTCCTCACTGGCCCCAACGGATAGCAGGCTTTAGAGCTGGCCCAGCCTTGGGGATCCTCATATCCCTTGGCTTTAGTTATTTATTTTTAAGATTTTATTTATTTATTTGTCAGAGAGAGAGAGAGAGAGAGATTTATTTGAGAGAAAGAGAGAGCACGACAGAGAGAGAGCACGACAGAGAGAGAGCACGAGCGGGGGGAGGGGCAGAGGGAGAAGCAGGATCCTCGCTGAGCAGGAAGCCAGACTCAGGGCTCGATCCCAGGACCCTGGGATCATGACCTGAGCTGAAGGCAGATGCTGAACTGACTGAGCCACCCAGGCGTCCCCCCATCGCTTTATAGTGGCCCAGACAGGAAAGGGGCTGCCCTGGAGGCCCACAGCATGTTAGTGGCAAAGCGGGGCTCAAACCCAGGCCTCTCCGTCCTATAAGACTCTTTCTTCTAATCCCGGTCCCCAGAACAGTGTCCCCTGGAATCCTCAGGCAGCAATAGTCTTGCAGGTGCCCCAAGTCAGCAGGCCCTGGCCAGGCTGGGGACTCTGGGAGGGTGGGGCTGTCCAGGGCATCCCTCCACAGCCTTCACGCTTTGCTGGGCTCCCGCCTCCTCCAGAAAGCCTTCCCTGATTGGTACCCAGAAAGCCGAAAGTGAGTTTCCTCCCACGCCCCTCCTTTGACAGAAAACCCGCTTAAAGATGAACGGTGTCTGTCTGTCTGCCTGCCTGCCTGTCTGCTAGTCCCTACATGGAGTTTCTTCGGGGTAGACAAGAGCTGGATTCATCTGGGCTCCCCACTACAGGAGCCTAGCCTAAACGGAGGGCAATGGGAAAAAGAGGAGAAGCAAGTGATCAGTGCCCTGGGATTGAGGGATCCCAGCGGAGGCAGGGAAGAGGGTGGGACTGGCGGGACTGGGGGGCACAGAAGCCCCGCCCCCTTGAACGTCAATTCCCGGGGCCTCCCTCCCTCCCCCGCGGCCCATTCCCCAGGGCGGGCTCCTCCTGTGGGAACTGCTGTCTCGGCAGCGGGCACCCGGCCACCAGGCTGCCAGGAATGAGGCTGGGCAGCGGGCGGGGCGGGCCTGGACAGGGCTGCCCCTTGCTCAGGCCCGGGGAGGGGGCGGCTCTGGGCGGAGGCAGACGGGGAGGGCCTCTGCGTGGGCCCAGGGAGCTGGAAGCATCCTTCTCGTGCCAAGAAGCAGCAGCCGGACAACACCTGGCCGCTGCTGGAGATGCGGACTCTCAGGTCCTTCCCCAGACCTGCTGATTCAGAATCTGCATTTGAACAAGATCCCAGGTGACTCCTATGCACATTCCAATTTGAGAAGTCCTGTTCTAACAAGAGTCTGCCTTTATATTTACAGGTTAAAGAAAAGACATCTACAAACTTCCAGTTATAAAATAAATAAGTCACACAAGGGATGTAATGTACAGCATGGTGACTAGACTTAAGAATACTGTACTATATTTTTAAGAATTGCTAAGAGTAGATCTTAAAAGTTCTCACCACAAGATAAAAAAATTGTAACTGTTTGGTGATAGATGTTAATTAGACTTGTTGGGGTGATCATTTTGCAATATACACAAATGTCATGTTGTACCTGAAACTTATATAATGTTATATGTCAATTATATCTCAATTTTTTAAAAAGACTTTATTTATTTGTCAGAGAGAGAGAGAGCGCAGGCATACAAGACTGACTGAGCCCCCCAGGCATTCCTATATCTCAATTTTAAAAATTAAATCATGAGGGGTGCCTAGGTGGTTCAGTCAGTTAGGCGTCTGCCTTTGGCTCAGGTCATGACCCTGGGGACCTGGGATGGAGCCCCACATCGGGCTAGGGCTCCCTGCTTTGTGGGAAGCCTGTTTCTCCCTCTGCCCCCCCCCACCACACACGCGCGCACTCTCTCTTTCTCTCTCAAATAAATAAAAGCTTTAAAAAATTAAATCATGAGAAAAAAGACATAGATTACCTTCCTTTTATTTCTCCTTTATGTTTCGGATAGGGCATTATCTTGTTTTTTTTTTCCAAATTAGGAATGTATAAATAGGATATATTACCTATGAATTGTATTCCATTACAGGAAAGAGGTACTCTAGAATATGTTATAAAATGGAGTGTGGAGTCTGCTGGGGCTAGAAAACCACTGATGAGAACCCACTCCTGTTTTCAGTCAGCAACCTCAGCCCTGAGGAGACGGAAATGGGGCTGAGCAGCCCTTGAAACTGAGGAGCTTCTACTCTAGCAGGGGAGAAGAGACAGACTCATATCACTACCTTCCTGAGCCTCAGTTTCCTCACCCATGAAATGGGCATAATTAATCATCAATCATTACCACTTCTGACAGACTCCAACCAGCTTGGGAACAGGGAGAGGCTTTGTGAGCAGCCTTGAACCCGAGGGAAGTGAGGTCCCAGGGTGCCCTGCTCGCAGCTCTGCCTTCTGGTGCCTCTTTCTGTCCTTCAGGATCCAGCCCCCAGCCCTCTGGTCCTCCCCCTAGAGCCTCGTCTTCCTCTATGGTCTTACCCTTCTCCATTCCCCTTGACCTTCCCAAAAAAACACCTGTCCGAACCTTGCTCCCATTTAGCAAATTAGCACTGTTTCCGGGAGGAGCAAACATTCACTGAGTGCCGGCTATAGGCCAGGCAGCACGCATACACTGGGTCTTTTATGTCCAAGTTCTAACTCAAGCTTTTGGCTCCCATTACAGCAGGCTTCCTCGGCTGGAAAACAGGAACCAATTTTCAGTGACCTTGGGGAGGACTCAGGTTCAAGTCCCGCCTCAGAGATCTGGCTGCGGCCACACTGCACCACTCCCTGCATTCTGGAAGAGTGCTCCCTCCTCCTTTCCTCAAGCACCCCTTCACTTCTTCCATGACTATTTACTGAGCACCAAATAACTGGCAACTACAGTTCCAGGAGCTGGGGTACATAGAAAACAAAAACAGGCAAAATCTCTGCCCTCCTGGAGCTTCTGTTCCAACAGAGAAAAGGGCAATAAATAAACACACATGGGGCGCCTGGGTGGCTCAGCTGGTTAAGCATCTGCCTTTGGCTCAAGTCATGATCTCAGGGTCCTGGGATCGAGCCCCACATCCGGCTCCCTGCTCAGTGGGGAGTCTGCTTCTCCCTCTCCCTCTGCCCTTCCTCCCTGCTTGTGCCCTCTGTCTCTCTCTCTGAGTCTCAAATAAATAAAAAATCTTTAAAAAAAAAAAAAAGAATACATGAACAAAACTGAAAGAAATAAATAAATAAAATCTTTAAAAAAAAAATAAATAAACACACAGCCTGATGTGTAGATGGTGTTGGGTGCTATGGAAACAATAAAGCAGAGGATAGGATAGCTTGAGGTGGAAGGTCTCCATGCTCATTGCTTAGTGAGCGAGGCCTCAGTGAGAAAAAGAACCTGGAGGAACCAGGGAGAAGCCAGGTGGCTCTCAAGAGTGTGTGGGGCAGGGGCGCCTGGGTGGCTCAGATGGTTGAGCGTCTGCCTTCGGCTCAGGTCATGATCCCAGGGTCCTGGGATCGAGCCCCGCATCGGGCTCCCTGCTAGGCGGGGAGCCTGCTTCTCCCTCTCCCTCTGCTGTTCCCCCTGCTTGTGCTCTCTCACTCTCTCTGTCAAATAAATAAATAAAAGCTTTAAAAAAAAAAAAAAAAAGAGTGTGTGGGGCAATAGACAGATGAATGGATAAAGATGTGGTATATATATATATACAATGGAATATTATGCAGCCATCAAAAGGAATGAAATCTTGCCATTTGCAACGATGTGGATGGAACTGGAGAGTGTTATGCTGAGCGAAATAAGTCAATCAGAGAAAGACATGTATCATATGACCTCACTGATATGAGGAATTCTTAATCTCAGGAAACAAACTGAGGGTTGCTGGAGTGGTGGGGGGTGGGAGGGATGGGGTGGCTGGGTGATAGACATTGGGGAGGGTATGTGCTATGGTGAGCGCTGTGAATTGTGCAAGACTGTTGAATCGCAGATCTGTACCTCTGAAACAAATAATACATTATATGTTAAAAAAAAAAAGAAGAAGAAGAAGATAGCAGGAGGGGAAGAAAGGAGGGGGGGAAATCGGAGGGGGAGATGAACCATGAGAGATGTTAGACTCTGAAAA